CGACGGTGGGAGCAAGCTGGAGGGCCTCGACGTGAAGAAGGCCTTCGGCAACCGCCAGCCCTTGCGTGGCGAGGGGGTAGGCACGGCGAGAGCGAGAGCAAGCTGGTCCAGGCCCGATCCAGGCCAACATCTCCACGGGGCCCTTCAGCAGGAGGAATGGAGGGCATCGACGTGCCGAAGGACGTCGACCACGGGGAACCCCTGCGCGCCTAGGGGGTAGGCCACTGCGAGTTCGATGGCAAACTGGAGGGCATCGACGCGCTGTGCGACGTCGACCACGGTAGACCCCTGCGTGGCGACAGGGTAGACCACTCCGAGTGCGAGGGCAAGCTGGAGGGCATCGACGTGCTGTAGGACGTCGGCTACGTCGGACCCCTGCGCGGCGAGGGCGTAGGCCACGGCGAGTGCGAGGTCAAGCAGGAGGGCATCGACGTGATGAAGGACGTCGTCCACGGTCGACCCCTGCGTGGCGAGGGGGTCGGCCACGGCGAGTGCGAGGTCAAGCAGGATGGCATCGACGTGATGAAGGACGTCGACCACGGTGGACCCCTGCGTGGCGAGGGGGTCGGCCACTGAGAGTTCGATGGCAAGCTGGAGGGCAGCGACGTGGTGCAAGACATCCACCACGGCGGACCCCTGCGCGGCGAGGGCGTAGGCCACGGGGAGCGCGAGGTCAAGCTGGAGGTTCTCGACGCGGTGAAGTGCAAGCTGGCGGGCATCGGCAAGAAGGGCGGCAGGCCGAGGAACAAGGGCAAGGCCGGCGTTGGAAAGCGCCGCAGGCCTGCCCACCGCGGGCGACGACGTCGAGCGGCCCAGGCAGGAGCTCAGCCTGGCCTCCGCCGAGTGCTGCGAGCTGGAGGCCCAGCTCACAGCCGCCCGCGCCGACCTCGCCATCGAGGAGGTCGAGGCACGCGCGGCGGTGGTGGGGCCGGCGGCGGCGGGCGGGGCCTGGGACGAGCGCCCCGCCTGAGGCCGCTGGCCTTTCCGTGCCTCGGGCGCTGGGGTGGGGCGTGGCGGCTCGACCGTCACTCGTCCGCTTCGCTCTTACTTTTACTCTTACTCCTCCTCCTCCTCCTCCTCCCCTTCTCCTCCTCCTCGTCGTCCTCCTCCTCCTCCTTCTCCTCCCCCCCTCCTCCTCATCCGCCTCCTCCTCCGCCTCCTCCTCCTCCTCTTCCCCCTCCTCCTCCGTTCCCATCCTCCACCGCGCCCTCCGCCTTCGGCCCTCTGGGCCAGAGAGCCGAGGGCGGAGGGCGAGCTGGAGGAGGGGTGGAGGAGTGGCGGAGGGCGGAGGGGGGGGCGCAGGGTCTGCAGCAGCAGGGTGGATGAGGGCGAGCAGCAGCAGGGTGGAGGAGCGGAAGAGGAGGCCAGAGACTCTGGCCCTCCCCCGCTCGTCCACCTTGCTGCTGCTGCTGCTGCTGCTGCTGCTGCTGCTGCTGCTGCTGCTGCTACTGCTGTTCCTCCCCCTCCTCCTCCACCTCCTCCTCCGCCTTCACCTCCAGCTTCTCCGCTCTCTGCCTCCGCCATCCGCCTCTTCCATCCGCCCCAACCCTCCCCCTCCCACCCTCCTCCTCCTCATCCTCCGCCTCTCTACTACTCCTCCTCATCTCCTCCTCCTCCTCATCATCATCATCCTCGGATTATTCAGCCCGGTCATTTTTCAGAATGCGGCTCTCGCTTTAGCGCCGTGCGCGTTCGTTTCAAACATGTTCAAGAGCTTCGCGGATTCAGGGCAATTCGGTGTCAACATGTGGTTGTCGTATTAGCGCCGCGCACATTCGTTTAAACATTTGTAATATTTTCACGGATTGAGGGCGGTTGTTGCTTAAGCGTGCGGTTCTCGCCTTGGTGCCGCGCACGCTCGTTTTAAACATGTGTCAGAGTTTCACGGACTCCCATGGTCAACGTACCAGAAACGGTGTTTCTGTAATGATTCCGGATTGTGAGGACGCAACAGTTACACCATTTCGCGGAGATGAAGTCCTACGAACGGTGTTCTGGCAACAGTCATGATCGCCAGGGCGCAACAATCACGCGAAATCGTGGCATTGGAATCCCGAACATGGGGTCTTCAAACGATTGTGTCCCAACGAGGCAGTTCCTTCAGTGTAAATGAACCGTTCCAAAGGGGCTTATGCAGAGGGAACTTGGAGGGAGGATGTATTACAAAATCGTTGGTCAGTGTTGGGTTTACGCTGGTCCTCGTCCTCCTCCCTCTCCTCCTCCTCCTCCTCCTCCTCCTCTTCCTCCTCCTCCTCCTCCTCGACCTCCTCGTCCTCCTCCTCCTTGCCGTGCTCCTCCACTCGTTTTCATCATCCTTTTCATCATCCTCCTCCTTCTCGTCTTCCTCTTCATCTTCATCATCAATTATCATCCTCCGTGCTCATCCTCATCCTCCATGCTCATCCTCCGTCCTCCTCCTCCTCCTCAGCAGCAGCAGCAGCATCGTTATCCTTTCTCTACTCGGTCCGCCTTCGAGCTTCGTGCCGCGGACTGGTTTGTCGATGACGCCTGAGGCCCGAGATAGATCTCGCCTCGGCCTCTGCCACAGCCAGGCAATAGAGCAAGGAGGCAACAGAGAGGAGGCAAGGATGGACCGAACGACGGATGGGGGTTGCCTCCCCCCCCTGCAGGCGGCCTTGCATCCGGCGTCCCCCCCCCCTTGCCCTCACCCTGCCCTCCCGGAGGGCAGGTGGGGTGGATGCCGGCTCAGCCCTCCTCCTGCTTCGCCTGCACGCGCCGCAGCCAGGTGCTCTCCATATTCAGTGAGCAGCCGATGCTGCTGGAGCTCGAGGCACCCATGAAGGTCTGCGCCCTCGCCCAGCCGCCCCAAGACTTCCCGCCCCATCCCTGGCCAGTGTTGCCGCCGCTGCCGCCAGGCCCAAGGTCGGTTCTGTGAGCGTGCAGTTAAGTCGGGCGTGTCCCTCTATATAGGAGGCATATTCAAACATATGTTGGATGACCCTGGCGACGTACCCAACCCTTGCGCAATGCGGGGCATAAGTACATCAGGATTGCTACAACGGAGGCGATGACGTAACATGGACGCATGTGATTTTGCGAGCAGCAATCGGAAGGCTGGCAGGCCCCCGATCAAGATATAAGGGCTACGTAATCACGAATCACCCCTGTTGGCTGTGCCATGCGCCCGTTGCACTCAACGTATCCCACAGCAGCTCTTGAGAGCCCCCGCGGGATACGTGTAGGCGCAACGTTATGGCCATCGCCTGGCAGATGGTCTATTTCACACATCACACACGTTGGCTGTGCCATGCGCCCGTTGCGCCTACGTATCCCACAGCAGCTCTCCAGAGCCCCCCAGGGACGGCGAGGTCTCGCTCAGGTCCCCGCAGTGCCTCACTCCGCTGGACCCACCAGCAGCCCTCGAAAATGGCGACACTGTCGCAGATCGCAGCCCCCCCAGGGACGGCGAGGTCTCGCTCAGGTCCCCGCGGTGCCTCACTCCGCTGGACTCAGCAGCAGCCCTCGAAAGTGGCGACAGTGTCTGTATTTTTTCTCTTTCTCCTTATTTTTTCTGTTTCTCGCAGATCGCAGCCCCCCCCAGGGACGGCGAGGCGCTCAGGTCCCCGCGGTGCCTCAGTCCGCTGGACCCACGAGCAGCTCCCGAACGTTGCGACAGTGTCGCAGATCGCAGCCCCCCCCAGGGACGGCGAGATCTCGCTCAGGTCCCCGCGGTGCTCAGTCCGCTGGACCCACCAGCAGCCCTCGAAAGTGGCGACAGTGTCGCAGATCGCAGCCCCCCCAGGGACGGCGAGGTCTCGCTCAGGTCCCCGCGGTGCCTCAGTCCGCTGGACCCACCAGCAGCCCTCGAAAGTGGCGACAGTGTCGCAGATCGCAGCCCCCCCAGGGACGGCGAGGTCTCGCTCAGGTCCCCGCGGTGCCTCACTCCGCTGGACCCACCAGCAGCCCTCGAAAGTGGTGACAGTGTCACAGATCGCAGCCCCTTGACAAGATGCACACACAAGAGGTACCGCAGCCAGGATGCACACACACACACACACACGAGGTACGCACAAGACAAGAGGAGACAAGAGGAAAGCGAGAGGCGAGAGGCGGGAGGAGGACTGGAGACCGCAGTGCTGTATTCAAAATGAGTACCCAACCAAGGAGGGTTGGGAAAAATAGTACGGGGACGATGTTTCCATGATTTGTTATAACAATTCTAGACGCTTCGCGTATCCCCACCAGCCCGTCCAGAAACGACGCCCAGGCGAGTAGAGGGTCGTCCTGAGGGGCTTTTCGGCGTCTTGGGTGCCTCGGGGGGGCCTCTGTGGGCCGTTCGGGATCCTCTTTGGGGCCTCCTGGGGGCCTCTTGGGGCCTCTTGGGGCCATCTTGGGGCCTCTGGGAGCACCTTGGGTGCCTCTGGGGGGTCTCTTGGGGCCTCTTGGGGGTCTCTTGGGGGCCTCCTGGGGGCCTCTTGGGGGGCCTCTTGGGGCCATCTTGGGGCCATCCTGCGGCCTCTTGGGGCATCCTGGGGGCCTCTTGCGGCCATCGTGGAGGAAATCGATCAAAGAAGAGGGGTTCCTTAATTAGAGCCCCCCCCCCAGGAACTCCAAAAATCGTCTCCTGTACCACTCTGGGACCGCTCTTGGAGCGCTCTTCGGCGCTATTGGCGCCGTCATGGGGCTTTCTTGGGCCCTTCTTGGAGCTATCTTGAGCCATCTTGGAGCCATCTTGACGCCTCGGATGTGCATCGCAAGCGAAAAAGTGAGAACACCAAAAACATTGATTTTCCATAGGGTTTTGAAGCATTTTGGCCTCTTGGATGCATCCTAATGATGCTCTTGTGGGCACTTGGAACCGTCTTGGAGAGTTCTTGGGACGTCTTGGAACATCATGGGGACCATCTTGAGGCATCTTGCGCTATCTTGAGCCATCTTGGAGGGTATCTTGGGCTCCCTGAGGCCCTCTTGGAGCCATCTTGGGCGCTCCAACGCGCCGCGGAACCCCCTGTCCAGGTCAGTGGGGAGGGGGTAGGGGGAGGGGTAAACCCCTCCCCGAAGGGGAAGAGGGAGGGGTGGAAGAGGAAACTCGTTAAACCACCGACGCCCAGAGGGCTGGTGGGATTTCTCAATATTTCTGACCAGTTTTTTTTTTCGCCAAAGTTCCTCCTTTAGGAAGACATGCACGACCTAAACATACAGTCAGCCCGCATAGTAAGCAAGGATGGGCAACCTTCCCAAGGGCAACCTTGCATCCTTGCCTCCTCGGTCCATCCGTCGCCACTTTTGTTGGCCGCTCCCCGCTCGAAAAGCTTCGAAGTGAGCGTCCAACGCCCTTGCATCCTTATCGCGTATCCTTCTGATACGGGCCGACTGCAGGAGCGACGCAGAAACACGGGTTTGTCTTCACCGACGTTCGCGCGTAAGCTGCCAGCGTAAGATTGTGCGTCAGCGGCCCGTGTCAGCCTTCGCGTAAGGTCGCTATGCCATCTCACGTAAGACCCTTTTCTTTCCGTCTTTCATATGTGGGTCCTTCAGAAATGTGATTCGGGTGCGTGGAAGGCACGCCCCTGCACATTCGAACAGTGACGGAAACCGCCAGGAGACCCAGAACAGCCCCCGCCCCCTGGGGCGCCGACCACCTCCCAGGGACAGGTGCGGTGTGCAAATCCTCCACGTGCCAGGGGAGGCTCCGTCCGTGCCGTGGCCGGGGGGTCGCTGGGGACCCGGGGGGGAGGTGGGCCGGTGATGGCCGGTGCACAGCTCCAGCTTCCAGACTTCCAAAGTCTTGACTTCTTCGAGTCGGGGCCCCCCGAGCACTTTCTGGAGACCGGCATTTCGACCCGCCTCGTTTTCCGATGGTCCCGGGGCCCAGCAAGGGCCCCAAGACGCCGAAAACGACGAGAAGTCTCCGCTTTGGTTTTGTCGATGCGTTGGAGGTCTGAGTTAGGACTCTGGATTCGCCGTGCTTTGGTAGTAACATTTTCCAACTTAGCAGAGTGTCGGAAATGCACCCCAGAGGATACGAACAAGTAGGGCGGAAAGCGGCGACTTGCAGGAGCGGTTCGCATCGAATCGGGAGGTCGGATCGGATCATCACTTTGCGGAAATGGCCGCCCTATTCTTCTGAGGGTGAAATTTCCGCCTTTCTTTCTCGCATCGTTTGGTGTACATGCCCGACACGCTTTGAAGTCGGAAAATCAACCAAAGTACGGCGGATCCAGAGCCCGAACCCAGCACTCCAACGCATCGACAAAACCAAGGCGGAGGTTTCTCGTCGTTTTCGGGCTGGTGGGGCCCTCTCTGGGCCCTGGGACCGTCGAAACACGAGGCGGGGCGAAATGCTGGTCTCCAGGAAGTGGTCACCCGAGCTCCGGGGGCCCCGACTCAGGAGCTCGGAGGCCTGGAGGCTGGAGCCGTGCACCGGCCCACCTCCCCCCCCCCCCCGGGCCCTGGCGACCTCCTGGCCACGGCACGGGCCCCGTGCCGATGCGGCCGACGCATCCGCGCCCCACCCCCCCTGCGGGTGGCGACCGGGGAGAGAGATTTAGGTCGGGCGTGTCCTCCTACTTGTCAAAAAGATAGTCAAACAATCGTCCCCTCAGTATTTTTTGACTATTTTTGCATCTTCCTCCTGTAGAGGGAAAGGCCCCACTGAAAGATGGATGGGGATATCAGAGCGCAGATAGCCCCCGCGCGCGGCCCCGCCGCAGCCTCTGCCCTGCAGCGCGTCTCGGCGCGCGCGCGCCCGAGCCGACGCACGCTCCGCTCCGATCCGACCTTCCGACTCGCAGGGTCAGGTCGGGCGTGTCCCTCTACAGGGGGAGCATTCAAAAATTGTAGAAAGTTATCTTGGCGAAGGGCCCAACCACATGAGGTTGTGGGTACCGCAATTGTGAATATCTCCTTCGGTGAATCTCCCTATGGGGCCGCGAGGCGCTGCTCTGGGTGGGGGGGAACACATGCGCACGGTAGCATTGGGGCCGTCGGTGGAGCTCCCTACGGGGCCACGAAGCGCTGTACTGGGTGGGGGGAACGCATGCCGGCGGTAGCACCAGGGCCTTCGGTGGAGCTCCCTATGGGGCCACGAAGCGTTGTACTGGGTGGGGGGAACGCATGTGGGCGGTAGCACTGCGGCCGTCGGCGGAGGCATACGGATTGTGGCACGGGTTTTCGGTGGAGCTCCCTATGGGGCCACGAAGCGCTGTACTGGGTGGGGGGGAACGCACGCAAGCGGTAGCACTGGGGCCTTTGGTGGAGCTCCCTATGGGGCCACGACGCGTTGTATTGGGTGGGGGGAACGCATGTGGGCGGTAGCACTGCCGTCGGTGGAGCTCCCTACGGGGCCATGAGGCGCTGTACTGGGTGTGGGGAACGCATGCGGGCGGTCCCACTGGGGGATTCGGTGGAGCTCCCTATGGGGCCACGAAACTTTGTAGTGGGTGGGTGAACGTGCCAAATTGGGTGTATGGGACGCATGCGGACGGTCCCACTGGGGGCTTCGGTGGAGCTCCCTATGGGGCCACGAAGCGCTGTACTGGGTGGGTGAAAATGCTACATTGGGCTTTCGGGGCGCATGCGGACGGTTCCACTGGGGCCTTCGGTGGAGCTCCCTATGGGGCCACGAAACGTTTTACTGGGTGGGAGAAAATGCTGAATTTGGTGTTTCGGGACGCGCGCGGACGGTCCCATTGGGGGCTTCGATGGGACTCCCTATGGGGCCACGAAACGTTGTGTACTGGGTGGGTGAAAATGCCACATTGGGTGTTTCGGGACGCATGCTGACGTGGCAGTGGGGCGTTCGGTGCAGCTCCCTCCCCATGGGGCCACGAAGCGCTGTATTGGGTGTGTGTGAAAATGCCACATCAGGTTTTCGGGATTCATGCGGACGGTCCCACTGGGGGCTTCGTTGGAGCTCCCTATGGTGCCACGAAGCGCTGTACTGGATGGGTGAAAATGCCACATGGGGGTTTCTGGACGCATGCGGTCGGTGGCACTGGGGCCTTCGGTGGAGCTCCCTACGGGGCCACGAAACGTTGTACCGGGTGGGTGAAAATGCAGAGTTGGGTGTTTCGGGACGCATGCGGACGGTGGCAATTGGGGCCTTCGGTGGAGCTCCCTATGGGGCCACGAAACGTTGTACTGGGTGGGTGAGAATGCCAAATTGGGTGTTTCGGGACGCATGCGGACGGTCCCACGGGGCTTCGGTGGAGCACCCTATGGGGCCACGAAACGCTGTAGTGGGTGGGTGAAACGCAGGGAGGAGGGAGGAGGGGGAAGGAGGAAGGAGGGAGGAGCGCGGGGACCGTATTCAAAACGAGGACCCATAACCACAGGATGGTTGGGAACTATTCAAAAACTTGTCCCCTAAATATTCTTGACTATTTTTGAATATTCGCCCTATAGAGGGACAATCCCAACTTAAATGTAGCAGTGTATATGCGGACCGCTCTTGCATCGACGTCACCCCAAAATCCTAATACCAGGTGTGCGTCGCCCAGGGGAGATGCGCGCACCGAGAACTCTCACAGCATATATGTGTCGCGGCGGGCGCTTCCTGGCCACACCGCTCGGGAAACGATCTGCTGCAGGATGGGTGTACCATATGCTCGGGTCGGGCGCGCGCCTCCAGGGAGGATGTCTCTGTGCGTCACACCCAGAGATCCGATGTCGTGTTTTTTGTCAATACGGGGTCCCTGGAAGTCTCGACCGATTCTCCGGGACCTGTTCTTCATCTTGAATTGTCTTTGACGGTCCCGGGGCCCGGCGAGGGCCCCTAGAGGCCGAACATCGTGAAACATGTCCGTCTTGACTTTTTCAGCACGTTGCATCTCTGGGCATATGCATGCAGGTCGCCGGCGACATCCACGGCCAGTACTTCGACCTGCTGCGGATGCTCGAGTTCGGGGGCTCGCCGCAGGAGCGGGGCACGGCGCCCCCAAGGGGGCGGCGCGCGCCGCCTCGTGGCGCTTCCGCTCCCGCCGCCGTATCTCCTCTTCCTCCTCCTTCAACCTCCTCCTCCTCCTCCTCCTCCTCCTCCTCCTCCTCCTCCTCCTCCAACCTCCTTCCCCCCCCTCCTGCTCCTCCTCCTCCTCCTCCTCCTCCCTTTCCTTCTCCTCCTCATCCTCCCTCGGCTCCGAGAGACCCCAGGGGCCCTGCCCAGGTGGGCTTGGCATCGCTCGGACCTGTGCATTTTTTGGTCGGCGATGACGCGGGCATCCTAGAATCGAACACGAAAAAAAACATAAACATAAATGGTTGGCGCTCCGCGCAGATTTCTTTGATGCGCGCTGGGCTCCCCTGGCGGCGCCTCCGGCGCCGCCCTTGGCGCGCTCCGCTCGCCAGGGAGGGGGGTCCAGCGCAGATCCAAGAAATCTGCGCGGAGCGCCAAAAGCTTATGTTTGTGCAGTTTTTCTTTTTGTATAGAAGGGTTCCGAGTAGATGGGGTCGGAGGATGGCGCCGCATCGCCGATGCATCGTCGATGCATCGGCGATGCGGCTCGATGCGGAGCTCGACTTGCTTGACGTCGACGTCGCCGATGCATCGCCCACGTAGACGATGCATCGCCGGTGCATCGCCGATGCATCACCAATGCATCGCTGATGTATCGGCGATGCGGCGCGATCCTCCCACGCCAACTTTTCGGACCCCTTCTAGGAGCCATCGAGGAGCATCCTGGATCATATGGGGAAAAACACGCACGAAACCGAAAAATGCACGGGGAGTGGACGTCCGAGCGGCGGGGAGTGGAGGTGTGAATGAGCTCCCTAACTACCTATCTTGGGGAAGCGTGAGACTCAGGCGCGCCAGATCTCGGGTTTGCCCATATTTTTTGATGGGCCCGTCCCGGATGTTGACGGTCCAGTTTTCGTGGGATGTTTGCAGCGGGAGCTCACGTCAAATTTCGGATTGGGTCTCGTCATTTTATTGACGGCCCCCTAAGGCCAACACGAGTTCCCCGAACCCGAGTCTTACGTCTCCCCGACTATCTTCGCCTTTATCGTACTCTTGTGGACGACGATCAATGGAGAGGAAGCATGTTGCCAAACATGCTTTAAACATGTCTTAAACATGTAAGAACATGTCTGGAATATTTGTTGAACATTTTCCGGCAGTTTAAGCACATGTTTAATTAAATGGTCGGATTGTTAGGGTGTCCATTGTCATGGCATGCGCAATTGTACTCGCTGTCCTTTTCGGCTCGCAAGTGTTGGCATACTCTGCTGGACAGTGGGGAACGGTAGAACTTTTCATCAGAGTCCATCATTCATCGTTACCGCCTTTACCGACGGAGACTCGGGAGGGAATCGGCCCTTCGGCCAACCCTTCCCCCACACAGGAGGAGGAAGCCTCTGCTGGTTCGAGTCGGCTGGGGGTCTACGGTGGCCCAGCATTGGTTCCGGCCAACGGGAGGGGGGCGAGGTTCGAGGTTCTGGGTTCGAGAAGATGTCTTGCCCCAGTCGGTCACCAGGGGCCGTTTTCCATCCCCAGGCCGTCGACAACGGAGCCAGGGTGACAGCTTGCATCAGGTGGAGCCGTGGAGAGGTCCTGGGACCAATGTTTGATGGATTTGGGCTTGCGTCTTGGGCCTCTGTCGTGGCGCCCAGCCCCTATCACACAAAAGGAATGTGCTCGAACAGTCGCTGGTGACCGAATACGGGCCCGAAATTGTGACCCAGGACGTCGTGTGACCGGAACCCATGAGGGCGCAAAAGTGTTGACTGTAAGACTTGTGCCAAAAGACACACTTGTGGATTGAATACGTGCAGAAGGCCTGTTTTGAAGGGCGCATTTCTTATTTAGACATTCGCTGCTCCCCAGTCTTATTTATCGACTCTTGAATTCAGCATTCGAGATCATAAGACAGATCTGGGTGCAGGCTATGGAGCGACTCTCGCTTTGCCTTACCCTGCTAATAATCCATCGCCAGCGTGGGCTCTTATGTTATTGGAGAGGGCGGGTACGGAAAAGGCCCGCTGATTTGTTATAGTTGAGTGCAAACTCGCGTGTTGCTGCTCTCGGTCTCTACGACATCGCCGACGCAGGCCCGACGAATTATTCAAATACCTTGGCCTCGCCGATCGAGCATCTCGCCTGACTCTCACGAGCATGAGGATATTCCGCACGCGCGCACACGCGCGTGCGCCAATTATGGACGCTCGGCGTATCCCACCACGCCATCAGAAGCGATACCCAGCAGAGCTGACGGGGTATGGGGGAGAAGGCACACATTGGTGAAACCGAGCGGGAAGCAAGGGTGAATTCAGTGTCCCTGGGGGTAATGGGGGAACGTGGAGGGCCTCGCGGGGCAATCGTTGGGGCCCGCGTGGGGGGCAGGGAAGAGGATGGTAATGTTGATGGCGATGATGACGTTCGGTTTGCGATTGTTGGCATCACTGATGAGGAGTTGCCCGTTTCAGGACCGTGGCAGTTTCATGGGGTTGTTGTTTGTATTGCATTGCCAATGCTGCCAGTCTTCGTCCTTCGACATCGTGTTGCCATGGTTTGCGTGAAGTCCAACCGTCGCACCTTGTTGAGCGCGGCTTGCCACGCCCGCGAAGGACATGAACTATTTGTTCTTGGGGGACTACGTAGACAGAGGGAAGAACTCTATCCACTTGCGCTGCCGCGCGAATCCGCCACGGCGTTCGGGCGAACACTTGGGATAAAGGGAGGGTGGGGAGACGCCCAGAGGATGTGTCATGGGGCGTCCTGCCCAGCATTCTGATTTTGGACCAACTTGATGCTAGGAGGTAAAACGCATGGTTTTGAACACAAGCGAATGCATGCTGGGCTTGATGCGTTGGGGCGCTGGCCATGCATTTTTTCTTATGAAGCAGAACTGGACGCAGAAACAAAAGCCCGAGCCCGAGACACGACAGCCGCTGAAAGCGCGGTGGCGGGTCGAGTGCGTCGCTCTGCTGTTCGCGTACAAGGCGATCGGCCGCTTTGACGTGCTGCGAGAGTTGCTGTGACGTCTTGGCTGGGGGTATGCCCAGGAGCACGATACGAGCACGCAGGCAGAGCACTGATGCGCATCAGAAGCTGGGAGGACCTCGCAGAAGTAGTCCACCCTGCTCCTTCTCGTCGTGGCCCCCCTGGCCTGGACACGGGGAGGTCGGATGACGGAGAGGCACTCCGATGCTCCGGTGCAGGGGGAGGCGCGTTGGCATCGGCAGATGCAGCATGAGCACGCAGCAGAAGCGGCAGGATGGGGAGGAAGGAAGACTGACGCTTCTGGCGGGTCGCCCTGGGGCCTGCGCAGGAAAGGGGGAGAAGAACGGAGGCGAAGAGGGCGGAGGGAGCGAGGGAGGAGGGAGGGGTGGGGGGGGCAGAGAGGTGGGAGGGCGAGGTGGAGGTGAAGAGGAACGGACGACGGGGGAGGGGGCTGGGGGGGCTTGCCCGCCCGCCCCGCCCGCCCCCGCCCCCCACAGCGCCCCCCACCTGGCACACGCACACGCCCGAGGCGAAGTACCCGGAGAACTTCTTCGTGCTCCGCGGCAACCACGAGTGCGCCTCGATCAACCGTTTGTACGGC